CACACACACACACACACACACACACTAGCAGGAAAGTGTACCACCTGGTCACCATGGCAACTAGTCAGCCCTGTACTGTACTCCGATGATAATGGGTTGAATTTTGATTTAGTTATTGTGTAGAGGGTTTGGTCCACGAGCATATACCTGCAGAATATATGAGATAGATTCAGATTTTACAATGGCTTTTTTACTTGAATGCTATATATAAAAGTTAATTATTAGTTATTAGTGTTATTATTAGTGTTTTAAAAGAATAACATTAAGTAAGTGTTCGAGCACAGCAAAGGTAATCTTAAAAAAGAAAGTCATTGAAAAGCAATGCTGTGCAATTTATATTGTATCTCTGAATGCGTTCCAGGTGTTTGAGTTTCTCATTCGTCTGCACTCGGTGGAGGCTGCACAGGAAGAGGAAGTGTATCCATACATTCGAACTCTTTTGCACTTCGACACTCGAGAGTTCCTCAACGTCCTGGCGCTGGTGTGCATCAGCTAATCCATAAATCAATATGTATTACTAAAATCATCAGTGCTCTACTAATTATACATGTAGAGTGTAGTATGTCTGCCCTTTAATCAGATCTGAATATTAATATCTCCTTGCATCACAGACATTTGAGGACTTCAAGAATGACAAACAGGCTCTGGAGTATCAGCAAAGGATTGTGGACATTTTACTGAAGGTGACAGAAACATATTTCTCACTGTCTTTTGCCTACAAATCTCATACACACACGCACACACTTACATACGAATGCTCACCCAGCTTTCCCTCCATCTGTGTAAAAAACATTTGGCTCTGAAATGATTCTTCACTCTGTCACTGGAATGTAAATCATGCGAATGGGATAATTTTATCTGCTGGAGAACCGGCTCAGTCCTGCAGTCTTCCTCCCCCTCCTCATCACAGCTCATTCAAGAGCCTTCAGCAGCTCAAATCAACATCCGCACACTCTCCCTTTCTCTCCATCTGTAATCATTTGTTCGTTCATAAAAAAACAGAGAGCACTACCTTGGCCCCCATGGTATCCCACATAACTCCACCGAATATCCAGCAGAAATAAAATGCTTATCATTCAGAAAATTAAACACGTTTTACCATATTTGAATCCATTTCACAGAATTCAACAATCACAAATGTAGAAAATGCAAAAAAGCCCCGGCTTAGATAAATTTTCCGTAAAGTTCCAAAATCGCTTGATCTTAGAAAGCCTGGTTCAATGTTTGTGAGGTAAGATAATGTCACAAACAATAGTCTAACTACTATAAAAAAAGGGGTAGGATTTACTTGATAAAAGCTAGGAAAAGCATGTTTTCAAGTAAAGGAATACACTCAATTCTTAAATTTACTTTTTGTATGTAAAATGTTCTTAAGTAACGCTAAAATACTAGAATTTTAATGCTAATGCTTATCTTTTTTTTTTTAAATGTAAATATTATTGTTCATGAGTAATGCTTACTTTTAAGTATTTTTAAGTATATGTAAATAGTAGTTATAAGTATCGAGTGTGCACAATGAACATTATCAATAAGTCAATAATTAGAACCTGCACCACAACTTTAGAAACTCAAATATTCACTACAGATGTTACTGAATCGCCTTATAATTGAATATTGCACCACTTATATCTATTGAGAATCTCAATCCTTAAGTAAAATGTCCTAAATCACAGAAGAATTACTTTCGTTGGACATTTTTCACTCTGTATATATACAGACACTAACAAATTCCCTGTGTGTGCGCACTTTTCAGGTTATGGTGGACAATTCTGACTTCACCCCGTCTCAGGTCGGCTGTCTTTTCACCTTCCTGGCACGACAACTTGCCAAACCTGATAATACCCTTTTTGTTAACCGGAAGCT